CTTTATAAAAGCAATAAATAGAATGACAGTCCTTAATTAAGTCTATTTTTATGGCAAGATTCCAATAAAACTACAACTGTAGTACTAGCTTTCAATAAAATTTTACAGAATTTTCAATTTTAGTTACTATGGCAACATCAATCAACAAACTCAAAAACACGAAACTGATAATGGTGTTTGCTAGTATAGTCTACTTGCATGCCAAATTATATTACAATCTGACTAAAACTGTAGGAGGAGTAGCATTTTGAATGAATTTCACAGAAATTTCTATTTGAGTTACCACGGCAACACCGTTGATCGAAATCAAAAACCGATATCTTTAAGTGTAGTCTACATGTGAGCTAAGTTATTTTGATATCAGACAAAAAATGTTGGATAAGTAACATTTTATTATATTATTTCTATCTTTAGTAACTAAGGCAGAAATCAAAAACCGATGCAGAAATTAAGTATCTTACTGTTGTCTATTTGTGTGCCAAGTTATATCGAAATCAGACCAAATCTGCAGGGGGAGTAGCATTTTGAAAAATTGTTTACAGACAGACAGACAGACAGACAGACAGGGAAATATACTACAAAATGAAGTGTGCGTCATTTAGAATTTTAAAAACATCAGCTTCATCAACTTCATTCGACATTCATTCATATTTTGATAATCATATACATGTACTAGTTTTCAAAATTGATTCTAAAATAATCATGCCACAATAATGTGCTCAAGTAAAACTGATAACAAATAAAAGGTGAATGAACCTTTTCTCAAAATAATATATTATTCATTGTATTACATTCATTTGTATTCTTTGTGTTTAATATACTTAAACATAAATTGTCAATATTGATGTCTCTCTTTATCGAAATTTGAAGAAACGAAGCAGATTAAAAATACAATTATAGCGAAAATTATAAATTTATTTCTCGATACGTATATCTGAAATGTTAACAGTGACATGTGTTAAGCTGTATCAAATCTAAAATACAAAGTTTGTTTTTTAAATATATTCTATATATTTTAGGTTGAGTATTAAAATCATTGTATCAAATTAAAAGGAATTTAATTGCTTGTTTGCTTCTGTATTTTCAGTAAAAAAAAATGGTTCTTTTAAAAGGATTTGAATATCATTTTATTTATCCCTTTGTTTGTATCTCATTCTTCTAGCTATCTGACTAACTGTCTCTTAAACATCCGGGGCTTAACGACGTTCCCTTGACTAGATAGAAAACACAGTAAAACTTCAATAATTATCATTTATATAGCACAAGGGCATATATAAATATTTTGACAAGTGATATCTCATTGTTCAGGAAAGGTGGATGTGTGTTTCTCTTAGATATTACAAGCGATTTCTAAATTTTATATCATTAAGGGTTGCAACTGCAACGCTTAATGATACACTAGTGTGTATCATTAAGCGTCGAATATGTCGATATTTGCTTGTTTCATTAAGCGTCGGTGTTGCACTGCATTTGTGACGCTTAATGATATAATTCTGTTATTAAGCGGCGATTTAGCATTAGCGGTTGATGATGTCAGCTATTAATGCAATAATTTATGGCATTAAGCGTTGCAATTGCAACGCTTAATGCTATTTGTATCATTAAGCGGCGTTTTATCATTAGAGGTTGCTACAGTGCCGAGCATAGGACAAAATTTGTAGGCCTCCACCGGCAAGTGGTGGCGTCTCCATATGAGTGAACAATTCTCGCTAGGGACGTTAAACAACATACAATCAATCAATCCTTCTGAAAAGAGTAATTATCAGCATTTCTTCAAATGAAATGCATGGCTAAACAAAATTTGTTAATATAAAGAAAACTTTGGAGTGTTTTCCACTTGCACGTTTTCATCGAGCATTTTTTTTTCATTCATAGAAGTTAAATTTATTTATTTTTCGATGACATATTTATATCCTTCCTTATTTCCATCCATGAAATATATGATCTGAACTGGAGTACATAAACAGTTATTTACAATAAGGAAATGTATTCAATTCCTTTAAAGAGACACCTCCTGATTTGATTCTATATCATATATATATTAGATATCCTTGGAGTTGTGCGTTTTTTAAACAATATGTATCATTTAATTATATTATTTTATATTAGTCTGAGTTCCATAGCAGATGGTCCATGTCCTTGGTAAGTGTATCTGTATAAAATTAAACGTTAGTTTATAATTAATGCTATTACCTAATCTACTTTATAAAATGTAATCAAGCATTTTGAACTGTTTCGCGATTCATTTGATATTTTTGCGTGATCATGAAACAGTCGAACTGTTGACCGCGCTACAGAATGAACTCTTGCCTTTTTAAAGCGTCATGGTGATATTCAAGCGTTTTGATAATCACAACATCACTATTTACCTGCTATATAATTAAATAAACTAGAATAAAACACGCAAACCATCAATTCATTAAGTATTAATTAAAATTATCAATTATTAATTTAATCTTCACATTCGGTGTTCAGCTCATTACACGTAATAGACTGATATATCGATGACCAGTTAAATTGTTAAACATGTTAAAAATCTCTAATGGTTGTTTTTAATCCAGTTTTGTTAATTAATATATAGTAGTTTAGGTAATAAAACACTTCGGCCTCGGGCAACAGTTTTCCAGGTTTTCCACACTACCTTGGGAAATATTTGACTGTGTACCTCGTAGTCATTAAATAAGTGTATACAGTAACATGAGGACATTTTAACTTCCAGATATGTACTTAGTTTTATACCATTGCGAGTGAAAAGCCTCGGATGGTTCTCTTATTCTATTCTTAATTTACAAAACTAGATTTCTTTGCAGCACCAAAATGCCTTACACAGTATCATTAACTGTTTTATATAAGCAGAATTCGTCCGTTCGTGTACATGAAAGATCTGGCGATAACGAACTGTATTCAAGCTCAAAAGTCCGTAAAACTATGTAAAATCATCATTTCGTAAGTTTTATAGTCCAAACAATGACTCTGTCAGCAAATTCAGTTTGGGTGAAATACTGACTGATGTCTTTCAAACCAATTGTTAGTCAATGATTTATACACTAAATTGACGATGGATACTTCCGTTATTTCCTGCACATGACAAGGAGCACTCGGCGGATGTGATTGGTCAGCAGATCACTCCTCCATGGCAATGATACCACTTCTGATGTTTTGTTCGTGTTTGCTCTGCTCCTATTTTGTATTGTTTTATGGACTTTGGTATCAAACACTGTTTGCTTGCTCCATATCCTTTATAAAGAACAAGAGAAGAGCAAACTCAGTCCTCCAAAACTTCAGAGATGGGATCGAATGTCATGGATGAGCGGTCATACCCTGTTATAAGAGAAAACTTGTATGACGTATAAATATTTACATTTGGTTTTGTAATTGATTAATAATATGTAAACACCTCATAACACCTCATAACACAGAATAAGCGCTCGTTCCTGCACGGACTGCAAGGAGAATTTAAATATTTTGGATAATCAATTAAAAGTGTTTTTTTTTTTTAATTTCATTTTTTAAACTAAAAAATGTTGGCATACAAATTTCATTCCTTTTTAATCACCAGTATAAATATACATTTTTAAAATGATTTCAAGTATATATCAATTAATAACTTCTAACTAAATACGTCTCTCCTATATCCGTAATACGAAAGGGATACTATCTCTTCATCTCAACCAGCGCACACGTCGAATCGATCGAACTGTTATCAAACACACACTGTAGACGAATCAAAAACATCTTAAATTTAATTTTAGTTTTCTTTACATCACTTGATAGTAATCTCGAAAACCTTTTGTAATAATAAGAGTAAAAATTACTTATACACCATCTTTACTTCCAAACTTATATTCAAGATTTTTCAAAGGGTGCTGTCCTTATTCAAGATGGGATCAGAGCAAAGAAAGGTGCATAGGTAAGTTTCAGAAATAAAATTAAGCAAATTAATCACATAATTTTTAGTGCGATATTTTATAATGTGTCAATAAACAATTTAGACACCTCTGATATAAGTTTCATTCCCAAAAAGTGATATAGAATTTACTTTAAGGTAAGTCACTCGTCAGCTTTTTAGAAAAGTTCACGCAGAAGCTTTTACTTCAAAACTACTTATTAAAATTCAATTTTTATAACATATTTAAATTCAACAATGTAAATTTTTTAACATTCAGTGAAAAAACTGCTCAAAAATCTACAAAGAAGCAAGATTTATGAGGGACTATTTCTTTTGGTGGAAGGATATTTAGCAGAAAATTCTGCAAATCTGCACATTTATAGAATTTAATGTAATGGAAATTAAGCCTCACGTACTTTTACTCGGAGAATATTTTCTGTTTTGATATTGCTAAAAATATTTAATATAGGTCTTAATTTATATTTTTAGACTAAGTTTTACACCTTCCCTCAACAAAATTTTCCAAAAAATGAAAATATATTAAAGAAGTCTAGGTCAAATTTACACCATTTTTTGCCTGAAAATCACATATCTTGACAAATATTTCAAAATTAACATCACTGACCCCACCTTTTTCTTTCATTATTTTAAACAACTCGATACTTGTGACTAATCAGCGCTCAAGTCGTAAAAGGTTTGATATAAGAAAATCTTTTATTGCCTATTTTTTAATACCCAAATATGTTATTTTTTTAGTGCAAAAAAGTCACACAATAATTAACGCGCATTAATTTGCAAGATTTGTTTAATGATAAATATTATTCAAACTATATTACGTAAAATAAGATTATATTTATTGCCATTCTTACATCTAATCATATATAAAAAGGGTAAAAGTAATTAACCAAAGAGATGAAATTTAAGTGCAAAAAGGTCAACTGAAATGTACCGTAGATCAGTAGGATGCACACTGACCCCCTATTTTCTTTGCGATTTTGTGTTACACTTTATGAGTACTTATCCAAAATATACTTCTCAAAAAATCCTTGATATAACAAATTTCAGGAGTGACTTACCTTAATAATTGGTTTTGATATTTTTAAAATTCAAGAATGTACGATTGGCTTTGCTGGCATGAACTGTACAATGCCCTGTGAGTTTCCATATTACGGGGAAGATGCGATGGAGAATGTTATTGCAGCAAAAACAATTGTGATGATGTCGAAGGTTGCCAAACATTTACGAAGGGTATTCAACTATATTTCAATGTTGCAAATTTCCATTGGCGACGAATTTGGCTTGTCTCATAAACATAACAAGAGTAGACTGTTTATTATAACGAATCTTACACAATGCAGGAAACGTTAAAAACACTGAATAATATAATATTTGATAAGATGATAAGAACAATATAGAAAACAACTGTAAATTACACCACTACCTTACAATAATTACAAGACAGATATCTAGTATGTGTATGCCTTAATTTTCCTTAACATACAAAACCCAATTTAAATGTTTTGAGTTGCATTTCTTATCGTAAAAATATTTCTGGCTATTGTAATAAAAATTATTCTAGGAGGTACTGAAATCTCCTTGAATCAATAAAATTATATAATTGTAGATCCTTCATTTTCTAACTTTTACTTAAAACGTTCACTAGAAAGAAGAAATTCAGGAGATATCTAATAACAATGATTCGATAAAATTTTCTGTTTCATTTTTTGAATGACACATATAGAAATAACAAGCAGTATTTAAGATCAAAATTCCATAACACATTACAAAATAGAAGCAGAGACAACACATACCACCAAAACATCAGATGTGGGATCAGGTGCCGGGGAGGAGTGGGATTCTTCTGCAGAAGGTAAACCCCACAGCATGTTCCTTGTCATGATCAAGAAATAACACGAAAAACTGTCGTCAATTCAGTGTATAAAGAATGGACTATCAATTTGAAATTTAAATAAAAATGTTAATATAATAATACTTTAAGCCTTGATACTGAATATAACTGCGCAGTCGTGTATTACTGTTTTCACATATGAAGGCATTTTGAAGGAAACATGACACAAAGAGCGAAAAATTCCTAATTGAAGCTTTCCATATCAGAATGTTTCCCTACGAACGCGAAATAACGAGAACGATTAAGTACATCACATCCGTTTTATTTACTTTTTTCATACTTTACTCCCTAACTAACAGTGAGTCAACTTATTAAGCTCACTGTGGACTTGACAAGTATTGCTACCCCTTCATGACATGTGATCTCACTTTTAGTACCCCATTTATACCATTTATATAATAGCATGGTTTAATTTTTAGGTTTTGAGATTCTTCAATTTTCCTTACATTTAATTCATTTCACAAAGAGGCATGTCAATTAAAATGGTTAGTAATCAGTATCTTTTTTATGATTAATACAAAATTTGAAAACAATGAGAAAGATGTTAGCATTTGAAGACAAAATCATTCAAATATATTTGATTTCCGAAAAAACAAAAGGCACTAATGGTAATCTAACAACCAAGCTATATGATTAACGTGATGACTTTAACTTTTCTATCGTCAACTTCCCCTACTTTATGCAGCAATATACATTCATCACCTGCATACGGTGTTTATATATCTAAGTTGATTTAATATGCAAGAGCGTGCTCTACGTATGAACAATTTCTAAAACGAGGTATATTATCGACTAGCAAGTTGATGAAACAAAAATATCAACAGTATTGTTTAAAGTCATCATTTAGCAAGTTCTATGGTCGACACAATGACCTTGTCAGCAAATACAACTTATCATTGAGTCAAACGCTAACTGACATTTTTCATACCTATTGTTAGCCCATTACTTATACACTGAATTGACGACGGATTTTTTCCGTTATTTCCTGATCATGACAAGGAGCCCACGGCTGGAGTGACTGGTCGGCAGGGGATGCTTACTCCTCCATTACACCTGATCCCACCTCTGATTTTCGGGGGTCTGTGTATGCTCTGCTCTTGTTTGTATTGTTTTATGGACTTTGAAATTGAATACTGTTCGTTATATCCACATACTTCTTCCACCGATGGAATATAAAGAATATACAATTATTCTGAGAATACCTTTCATAAAACAGACTTATCATGTTTAACATCAAGTTCTGAAATGTAAGCATTCGACTTTTTGAATTAAAAAAAATCACTTCCTGTGGAAAATGAACAGTCATTTACCCCAACAATCAAATTCACGGGTTGCCGTACACGGTAGCTCATTCGGTAGAACACTTGCTAAGTGATCGAGAGATAATGAGTTTGGATCTCGGCTGCAACTGACCTAAGTCGAAAAAAAATTGTTAGCAACTGTTCCATCGCCATTCGCTTGGCACTTTGAAGTTAAAGTATCGGGTCCTTCAGATTAGACCTTAAAAACCAAGTCCCCGTGTAAGCAGAAGACCTTGGCACAATAAAGATCCCTAATTTCTTACTGGTTCTGAGTGCCGAATAAAGGTCAAAATTTGAAGCCCTTCATTGGCATACGGTAACGTCCCCATATGAGTGAAAAATTAGACAGGGACCTTAAACAATATACAATCAATCAATCAAATTCACAGGTCTCAACGTTTTAAAGCAGGATCATGTGCTGAAGAAGTGACTGCCTGTCTGCCAAGAACAGAGAGGTAGAAATGGAATAGTAATTGTCTGATCGTCAAATATGCCTATTGATCAAATTTGATGGACAATCTTGATAACCGTCTTATTAAATAAAAGCAACTCCCTGTCCGTTTCTTTCAACCCGTGTCAATCGATAAATATAAACTCGTCAATTTTGGAATTCAGAGTCATATACCTTTGCATGTACATTAGATCTGTTTAAATGTATCCCTCTTTCGAGCTTTCGATATTCTTGCTTTCTTCTATATCAACACTAGAGACAGAGACTTTTTTTATGTATATTCTGGTTCATCGCCGGTTGGTAGTAATGGCACAACATAAAGGGAACGTGATCATTTTCAATTTGAAGAACATTTACACTAGCGTCGGGACATATGGTTTCAACAGTGATGCTATTGTCCATGGAAATATAATCTGTTGGCGTTTGGTTTCGTTTGACCTTTGCGTAAATGTCTTCCTATACGTTGTTTCGTCGTTTTCGTTAGCTTTCCTCCCTCTGACCGGATCGGGCTTTTCGTTGAGTTTGTCAATCTCTGAGGCAGGCAAGGTTTGTTGTAAAGATGGAATCAACATATTCTGTGAAAATGGAAAGTGCGCCATATTCGGAAGTTTTAACACATGCATTTATTTCATTCAGATTATTGAAGCAGGGATCATTAATGTCCATGTTTGCCTCTTCTCTATTTATTTTCAATTTCCTTTTCCTGAATTTTCCGTAAATGAATATAACGACCACGATTGTAACTGGTAGAGTAAGAAGTGTATTCGATATTACGGTTGCAAGAAGTCCGTGGCTCATATGATCAGTTGTTTTTGGTTTTAAATTTGCTTCCCAATGGCGCCGAATAGAGGTAGATCTTGAAGCAGGCCTTGGATGATCCTCTGTGAACACATAGGTTTGGAAGATTGATTTCTCTGGTGCCTCAAAGCTTTTCTTGATATCGCTGATCACGAGTGTTTGCAGCACTCACGACTGTTGGAAATAAAAAAAGAAATATATTTTTCAAAGACAATGCAAAAGATATTTACATTCTTCAATGAATAGAATTAAAGTCCTTTCATATGAATTATATACCATATCCAATTATCCATAGACATGATGACAAAGTTGCTTACACTTGCACTCCATTTGACAATTCCAGCAATACGTTTCGGGAGGACATTTTATTGAACAGTTTGTTCCAAAGAACCCGTCATCACATTCTTTAAACAGAAAAAAACAAAAAAAGAAAAATAAAGTTTTCTCTTTGAAAATGGAACATATAACCGTCACAGCAATTATTAGGTTTTCTATAAAAAAATCAAAAAGAATATTTGGAAAACGGTATCAGAATTTTTAATCAATGGCCAAGTTTCCATTTAAAATACTAATTGCTATAAAAGTATTTTTACTTATTAACATCACTCTAAGAATCCAGCATGCACTTACCCCTCAAAATTATCGTTTGCAGAACCTTTCTTTAATACAAAGTTTAAAGAATATATAACTTAGGGTAGAAATGAACTGAAAGGTCTCATCCTGATTTCCATTGATAGCAACTGTCTATTGCCGACTGGTACTTTTAAGCAAAAAATTAAAAAGAAATTCCTTGTTTTCGTTGAAAAAAGTGGAAACTGAATGTCGAATCTCTAACAAAAAATACTATAGTTAACTATAGTTATAACTTTGACACTTTGAAAACTTTGATTTACTATAGTGATAACTTTGACACTTTGAAAAACTTTGACGAAAACTTTGACACTTTGAAAAACTTTGACGAAAACTTTGACACTTTGAAAAACTTTGACAAAAACTTTGACACTCTGAAAAACTTTGACAAAAACTTTGACACTTTGAAAAACTTTGACAAAAACTTTGACACTTTGAAAAACTTTTGCGAAAACTTTGAATTTTTGAAAAACTTTGGCGAAAACTTTGACACTTTGAAAAACTTTATCGAAAACTTTGACACTTTGAAAAACTTTAGGGAAAACTTTAACACTTTGAAAAACTTTAGCGTTAACTTTGACACTTTGAAAAACTTTGTTGAAAACTTTGACACTTTGAAAAACTTTGGCAAAAACTTTGACACTTTGAAAAACTTTATCGAAAACTATGACACTTTGAAAAACTTTATCAAAAACGTTGATACTTTGAAAAACTTTATCGAAAACTTGGATAATTTAACATTTTAGAAAACTTTATTTAAAAATTTGACATTTTGAAAAACTTTATCGAAAACTTTGACACATTGAAAAACTTTATCGAAAACTTGGATAATTTAACACTTCAAAAAACTTTATCGAAAACTTTGAAACTATGAAAAAGTTTATCAAAAACTTTGACACTTTGAAAAACTTTGGCTAAAACTTTGATACTTTGAAAAACTTTGGCTAAAACTTTGACACTTTGAAAAACTTTATCGAAAACTTTGACACTTTGAAAAACTTTAAGGAAACTTTGACACTTTTAAAAACTTTGGCGAAAACTTTGACACTTTGAAAAACTTTATCGAAAACTTTGACACTTTGAAAAACTCTGGCAAAAACTTTGACACTTTGAAAAACTTTATCGAAAACTTTGACACTTTGAAAAACTTTGGCGAAAACTTTGACACTTTGAAAAACTTTGGC